CACGTGGGTGCCCGTGTGTGGTGAGACTGTGGTGCCTGTGTGCAGTGTGTTTGTGAGAATGTGGTGCCCATGTGGGTGGCCGTGTGCAGTGTGTGAGTCTGAGACTGTGGTGCCCGTGTGCGGTGAGCCTGTGGTGCCCACGTGGGTGCCTGTGTGCAGTGTGTGACTGTGAGAGGAAGAGTGGCTGGAAGCAGGCAGCCAGCTCCCAGGCTGATCCAACTCTGTCTCACACACTTGGTTTCTGTTATCCTGTTAGAGCTGCTTCACGTCCACACCTTTCACAACACATCAGAACATGACTAGTGAGCTAAGCTCCCAAGGGAAAACCTTTTTCCACACAAGATCCCCTCCTGCTCCACGAATGTCTTCCACGAATCCTGGAGTGGGTTAAATGAGATGGTGACTTTAACACTGAAACGCCCCGTGACTAATGTAGAAAACTGGCCCAAGCGAAAACCTGCCTTGGGCATGGTCTCAGACGGGAGAGATGGTCCCTCCCCGGCCTCCCAGGGTCACGGGCCTGGGCCACAGTTCCCCGTGGGGGTCTGGTGCAAGGTCTTTGATGGAAGCTGGCTGGAGGCCCAACTCGGCCCCGCGCCCACACGACTCCATGGCCCGTCTACACTGCAACATGCAACACCCGAAGGCAACCTCCCCCTGGCCATGCTCACCGGCTGTGCAGATAACTGAGCATGGAGACTGCTAAATAAACTGGCTGCCAAGGGCAGCAGCGGCCTCCAGACACGTGCGCTGAAGACAGAGGGGTCGCTCTGACCAGGGAGCAGGGACGCCGGGGCCTCTCTGTGCTTCCTGTCCCGCACACCCGATAACTCAGCCACTTCCGCAGCGGCAGGGTCCCCGCAGGCCGCTGCTGTCAGAGCTGCCGGCCCCGCCTGTGCGTGCCAGATCGCCCGGCACGCTGTATATCAACCTCCATCAAAGGCCGCCAGGCAGAGGAGCGGGGTCCAGGCCAACTTTTGTGCATTAGAGAGATTTTTAAAGAGACCTTGATAAAACTAGTGCTTCCTGTTTTTTGATGTGTTTAAGTAAGAGAAGGTTTTTCTCGTTAGAAGAGCAAGCCCATCAGGAAGCAGGCACAGGCGGCAGCTGACAGCGAGGTTCTCTATTTAGTTATTTAAAATAAGCAGCCAGAAGAACCGTAGGCTCCAGGATGGTGGGGAATAGGCATGTCAGCCGCCCCTTAACTGGAGCAAAAAGCAGGAAGAGCCTGTTTTCTCTGAAGAAAGGACCTGTAAAGTGCTCTGGATGTTTTAACAGCAGCCTGGTATTTCATCAGGCCTGTCACTGGCTGGCTAGCCTGCTGCAGGGATGCCACCTGGACCTTTGATGTGCTGTGATTTATGTTAACCTCAATATCATCCCTCACCCACAAAGATGGTCAGGAGAAGGCGGGGCATGTCCTGGTACCTGCAGCCACTGCCCACATCCCCTCTTGGTACCTCTCTGGCTGGCACAGCCCCCTGTGATGGCCCAGGAAGCACCAGCCCAGGCGGCAGGTCCCACGGGGATCCCCCGTGGCGATGCAGGTCCCACCCCTCCCCTCGAGGCCCTGATCTTGGCCGTGGCCTGCTGCTGCTCCTCCAGCAAAACCTCGCACACTCCAGGTCTGCTGTGTCTGGGATTACGTGCCCAGGGGTCTTGGTCTGTAGCAGGTCATGGCACTGTTCCCAGTCCCCCAGGCCAGGGTGTGGCCCTGCAGTCTTTAAGGCAGCACTGTCAGCTGCCGGCGAGGTGTGTGAGGGGACCTATGCGCCCACCCCTCAAAGATCCAGGGGTTCCAGGGGCCCCACAGACCACCTCAGGCCCAGCCACGTGCCCCTCTCTCCACTTTCCCCCTGCCGCATGCTCTCGGCTTGGCCGGCCCAGCGTCCCCCACGCCCTCTCCAAGAGCCCAGCTGTCCTCCTGTGAGGTGCCTGCACCTCTGGGCTCTTACTGACCCCCAAGGTCACCCTGCCCTTGGCGTCTTCTACTTCCTCAAGCCACCGAGCCTCCCTCCTCTCTGGGACACCCCTGCAGTGCTCACCGCCCTGACCACCAGCTCCCTGGCTTCCCACATCTGGGTCAGGGCCCCATGCAGCCTTTAGGCGAGCCGAGGCTCAGCGAGGCCCGTCCTGGGCCTCCCTCAGCAGCTGCCTGGTCACTGGGGCAAGGCACTGAGTCCCGCTGAGAACCTGCAGTCCTCACCCCGGCCCTTAGATCAGGAGTCACTGCAGAGACATGAAGCTGTGCAGGTTCTAAGGAAGCGGCCCTCTCTCACAGGTGGACCTCTAACGGCAAGGGCCTGAGGAGCACACGGCAGCCGCCTAGCGCCCCGGCTTCCTGGTCTGGAATGGCCGCCTGCTGTGGCGAGCAGGCGGTTTGTGTCACCTGGGGATGTTTCTGGCATGCTTGGCTTTCAGGCCTGAGTCTGAACAAGATCTTTCCTGGAAAATAAAGCTGGTTTCTCTTAGAGCGAATCTTTCAACATTTAGGATCACAGAGCTGACCTATCTGGAAAAGCCACGGCAGCAGGCCGGCTGAGGGGCTGGGGGAGGGGACAGAGGACACTCCTGGCTGCTTCCACTTCCGGCCCAGTGGGAGACAGACCCCTGACTGGGGAGGCTCTGGTTGGAGGCAGGACCTGCAGCCCTGAGTTCCCCTCTGGCGTCTCTGATGCTGCCCCTCGCATCAGCCTTGATAGAAGGGGAGGGAGGAAGGTTCTGGAGCCTCGGTGCCCTGGGGCCCTAGGAATGTGGGGTGTTGCCTGCTCACAGTAAGACTCTGCTCTCACGAGGGGACCAAGGCCGGGAACGCGCGGCTTCCTCTGCTACAGCAGCACCCAGTTAGCAGCAGGGTCCCCGTTGTTCCCAACCTGCTTCCCAGGGACAGGGGGCAGTGGCCATGGAGGTGGGCTGGCTGTGACCAGTGGGGTTCCTCTTGTAATGGGGTTCGCACTAGGGAAGAAGACACCCTTTTGTTCTAACGTTCACAATGAGAATTCCGCAGGTTCAGGATTCTCTTGAAGGACGGGTCTAGAGGCTCAGGAAGAGCACATGTGGGACACTCAGAATGAAAGCCACCTCCCCATGTGGCATCACACACTTGAGACACTCCCAGGCTGGATGTGACACTGGCGGTGGTGCACGAGGCATCCTCTGTGAGGCACGCCGCGTGCTGCCCACCTTGAGGCGCACTGTCCATGCTGAGGCCACCACAGGCAGTGGCCAGAGAGCAGACCGTCGCCCTGCAGTTTCCAGAACAATGCCGACGATGCCTGCACACCAGGCCTCTTGAGCGCCGTGCTGCACTGCAGGGGTCCGTGGCCTCCCGTGTGGCCTGACGTGTCCCCACCACTCATGACCCCGAGTGCCTCTGGGCATTGCCCTCATCTGCACGGCACCCGGATCAGACCGTCGGGGAGTGAGCAGGGCTGGCTTTCCATTGGGGAGGCTTGTGCCCTGGGTGCTGTCCCTGCTTCCCCTCTGCCCACCCCACAACGCCAGGCCAGAGTGTCTGTCAGCAGGAGCCATCAGACACCAGAGCCGGGGGCATGCAGGGCACCTGCGAGTGTGTGACCACCTGGCTGATGATCAGGGCCTAGGGACCAGCACCTTGGTCCGAGTGCCCGAGGGCAGGCAAAAGCAGCACTGACCCAATGGCATCTGAGTTGCTGCCCCACTGACTTCCCAAATACAGGGGCCGGCGAGAAGCTTTACAAAGACAGTGGGATCGGGTGGTAGCACGCTGCCTGTTCCTTGAGCTGAAAACGAGGATGCTGCTTCCGGAGGAGCCCCGGGGGGATAAGCACCAAATGGGGGTGAAAAGGCAAGTTTCCTGCAAACCGCTGAGCACCAGGACACCCCCACTAAGTGCCCTGTCACTCCGACTCTACTGGGACTGTCCTCAGGACTGCCGGGCAGGGGAGGGTCGTCCCAGAGGGCACAGGAGGCAGGCTCCCACCCTGTCCCTTGGGGCAAGGCGTGTGAATCTGGTGTGCTACAGCCTCAGGCACTGCCCTGCTGTCCACCTGCTGTGGTCCTGTGATCCGGACACATGGCTCTTGAGTCCCCCACACGCCAGCTGGCTGTTTTCAGGACCTGCACTGGACGCCCAGAGCAGGCAGCCAGACAGAGCTCTGCGTGGGGAAGCCACCAACTGAGTCATGCCATGGGAACGTGGACTCACACCCAAAGCCTGTGGATGGATTCCGAGGCTCAGGAAGTGCACGTGAGAAACTCAGAATGAAAGGTCCCCCCCCACGTGGTGTCACACACTTCAGACACTCCTGGAGCTGGATGTGACATCGGTAGTGACGGCCCTGCCTCCTCCCCCCACCTCGCACACCCACAGCTGGTGGAGGCTGTGCTGGGAGCAGGGATGCCTGGGCCCCAGGGTGGCGCCGGAATGGAACACTGCAGGTGGCACTCTCGCCCTGAGTCTTTGGAACGTTCTTCCTCTCTGCTCAGGCCTCGGAGGCCCGCTGTGCAGACCACAGCATCTCTGACTCCCTCCAGCGGTGTCGGTGGGGACGCTGCACAGAGCCCTGCCCCTGGGGGCTCAGAGCAGCAGACAGGCCTGCTGGGCAGAAGCGCCCCAGCCCGCCTCGGGACCACTGACTGGGACCCACGTGAGGATTCCCTAGAGAAGTCGCCTGTCCACAGAGGAAATGAAGAGGGTAAGAAAAAGAAAACCTCTGCTCACAATGTGCTCCAGTAACGGACACAGAGGGACCACGGCACTGAAAGGGTGCAGCCCCCCTGCAGCGGACCCCGAGCCATCTTCTCACCAGAAAAGGGCTCTTTCCAGTCCTGCCCCACCTCTTCTAGCCACAATCACAGTCCTGCCACATTTAAGGGGAAGCAGGTACAAGGTGAAACTGCGAGCATCCACGTGGTCAGAGACCGACTGCCTTTCATGCTCTGGGGCCCTCGGGTGGCCAGACCACAGCCCCGAGCCTGTCAATATACAGAGTCCCGTGGGGTCTCTGGGGTCTTCGTACCTCATTTCCCAGCAAAGCAGAAACGCATGCTTCGGAGGCGTCGCAGATGGCGGTCAGGTCGTGGCCTCCCTCGAGGGCCAGGACAATCCGGCCGCCAGCCAGGCCCATCAGCTGCTTCGTCAGGTACCCGAAACCTGCAATGGGAAATAGGAGACTAGGTGGTGAACAGGAGGCTGCATAGTGGATGGGGGGCCACGTGGGGGCTGCGTGGGGGACGGGGGAACCGTGTGGCGGATGGGGAACCAAATGGTGGGGCCACATGGTGGATTGGGGGGCCGTGTGGTGAACAGGGGACCGCATGGTGGATGGAGGGGCAGAGTGGTGGACGGGGAGGGGGGCGTGTGGTGGACTGCGGGGAGCTGCATGGTGAATGGGGGATGGCATGGTGGATGGGAGGACTGCATGGTGGATGGAGGGGCCATGTGGTGGATGGGGGAAGCAGCATGGTGGCGGGGGGGTGCGCGTGGTGGACAGGGGGGCATGTGGTGAACGGTGGGGGGACTGCATGGTGAATATGGAGACCACATGGTGAATAGGGGAGGGCCGTGGTCAGCGCAGCCCAGAAACGCGCCTCATGGCATCACAAGAAGACGCTGGGGCAGAGAGACACATGGTGAGGCCGGGTCTGGTTTCACAAATTAACTGAAGAGTTTCGGTTTTGGGTTTCTCTTTGATGTGTTTGAGAGTAGGAATTATGGCTTCAAGGCTTTGATTTTTAATCAGCAAATCATCTGCTCAAGGGACGAGGGCAGCCAGCCCCACTCAGAGGCCACAGGCCACCTGCCCTTTGGCCACCCCCAGAGGGGATGTGGCCACGACAGCGTGGCAGGGCCCGCCGGGCTCTGGTTACCTACAGGCTCTGAACATGTGCACACGCGTGCACGGGCTGTGTGTACTCCTGATGGGTTCTCCCATGTCCAGGTCTGACCACCTGGCTTTGATCAGGAGCCACAGTCCCGCCATGGCACCCACATCACTCACCCCGGGAGGGAGTGCCTGGTGGGTGAGGATAATCACCACCCTCAGCCTGGCCAGGCTGGCACTGATTAGAGAGCTGGAACCACGCAGCGCTGATTAGTGGCCCCAATCATGGGCTGACAAGGCTTAACTTCCCAAAGCCTCAGTTTGTCCCGTCTGATGGAAATAAACAGGGGCTTCGAGGCAGCTGTGGGGACTGAGGAGGAAGCTGAGGACATGGTAGCCACGGTGCTCCGGGCCAGGTGCTGTGGGGCGCTGGGCAGAGTGGGAGCTCTTTGCCCTGGCTGGTCACTTTTCCAGCCACTAAGCCATGTGGTCTGGGGCAGGTGGACTGGACTGTGTGAGGCCCCATAGGAGCATGGCCACCCGGGGCCACCTCGGGGCCACCTCAGGTCTTCCGGGTGAGCCACACACTGCACAGGCCAGGGCCAGAGGGGCTAGAGAGATGGCCCCTCTTGGCCACCTGTGCCCACGGGAGTGGGAGGGTACACACTATGGACGCCAGGTCCTTGAGGACGTCACCAGGGCTAAGTCAAAGGTCCCGAGATGCTCTGGCCGTGGGAGGCTCTCCAGGCTCCTCGGGGACTCCAGGGTTGGGGAATCGGCCAGGACTTTCTGTGTACCAAGAGCTGATGCCAGGAGGTTTTCACCCCTTGGGAGTTGCTAAGGCACAGCGGGAGCACCGATGCATAGTCCCTCCTCCCATCCTGAGAGCGCGGCCCCATCTAACGCTGATCCTGAGAGCACCGGGCAGCCGGGGCTCCCTCAGTGAACTCAACACTACAGCGCTCCCAGCGACCTCCCTTTATAGTTCCATGGGGCACTGCCTGCCAGAGTAGGGGCACTGCCTGCCAGAGTAGCAGCACAGGGTGCGTCTCGGCTCTCGGTGGGGGCAGGGGCAGGTCCCTGGAGGCGGCCTGCAGGACCCTGGACATCTGTGTCCCAGAGAGGAAGCCTCCTGTGCCCTGGGCCCCTCCTGGGCAGAGTGCCCAAGGCTTGCATGTCTGCAGCTCCCACTGCCTACTCTGGGTTCTGGGGCCTCCCAAATGGACGGGTTCCCAGCACGGCCAGGAGCTTGGTCATTAGTGAAAAGGTACCCTTCTTTCCTCAGTCACGTGCAGACCCACTTACATCTGGCAGAGAGGTTGTAGCCCCCCAGAGGTGTGGGGTGGCCCTCCACGGCGTCGAAGCCTGATGACACCAGCACCACGTCCGGGGCAAACTCGCTGGCGATCGGCATGACCACCGTTCTGCAAAGGGCAGGAGAAGGCGTTACTGGGCCAGCCGAGAGGAGGACCGGACAGTCACAAAATCCCAGGTTCCCTCTGATACTGGTAACGCCTGGCCGCAGCCCCCTTGGCCATTGGCAGGCTGGGGGCCCCACACAGCAGAGGCTGAAATCTGGCAGCCCGTGCTGAATTAGACGGGAGTCAGCCCACGTGTGATCCGGGCTCATTTCAGACACATCTTCTCAGTACAAGCCAACAGGCTCCGCTCTGCGTGATTAGTGAGAGGGCCGCTCTTTCCTGCTGCGCTGTTTTCTGCACACTTTGGAGGTGGTCTATAGCCCCAATGGCACAAGCTGCATTAACCGGGGGGAGGAAGGCAGCTGCCTGTCCCACTGACACCCTCCCCGGCCCCGGCCCCGCTCCCGGGCTCTGCTCCATCCTCCCTCCAAGCCTCCCAGGTCAGGTCCTTCCTGCCCATCCTCCCTTCTGAGAGTGGTTCAGCTCCGCTCGCCCCATCAGGCTGCCCTTGCTGCTACAATGCACTTTGCACAGCTCTCACTGAAGACACGTGCAGTCACTCACTGCCCCCAGTGCTGGGACTGTGAGGCCGAGAGCCCCTGCCAGCCTTGCTGAGGGAGCCTGCATGTTCCTGAATCACCCTAGACCCTAACACCAACACACACGGGAGTAAGGGGAATTACAACGAAATGAGACACTTAAGGATCTTTAAAGGGAAAGCTGATGACAAATGTAAGAAAATTCATTAGAAAAAGATGAACCACTGGAAATTCTTTGATTAAGATATATTAGGGAAATAAGGAAAACATTCTACCTGAAAAGAGGAAAAAGCACTCCTTAACACGAAACAACTCATCAGTCTACAGTCTAACGATCTTATCAGCATGAGTTATGAATCCATGCATGTGCTGTCAGTGAATGGGGAAGTTCAGCAGTTTCATGTGGCATTTGGGCTGCCTTGTTCAGTTCTGGGTTCTAATCACTGCTGACTTTCAGTGCCTCCTTCACCCCCTCTCTGGGTGAGGGGGGCAGAATCATGGCCTCCCTTTCCTGGGCAACAGCAGGGTCCCTGCGAGAAAGGTGGTCTGGTGTCTTCCTGCAATGGCCCAGGTGCCAGAGACCGGTGCAGGGGAGGACAGTGGAACGGAAGTGGTGCCTTTTAAAAGGGGACTTCAAGAAGTTCCTGGAAAAATTGAATTAAAAGATAAAAAATACAAACTTCATTTCTCAATTCAAGCTCCATCAAGTCCCAGACACTTTTGTAATGGTGACAGCAGCCATTTAGTCCCTCCTGGAAGGACTGAGCGTCCTGGGAATTTAACCATGTCCAATGCAGTCTGTTTTTACATTATTAACTGAAGAAAAATAAGTGCTCTTTACAGATTTTTCTAAGATTAGGAAACAGAAAGAAGTCAGAGGAGCCAACTCTGGACCGTAAGGTGGGCCTAATGATTTCTCTTCAAAGCTCTTGCAAAGGTTTCCTTGTTTAATGAGGAGTGAGCAAGACTGCTGTGGAGAAGGACCCTCGGTGGGGCAGGGCGCGGTGGCTCACACCTGTCATCCCAGCACTTTGGAAGGCTGAGCCAGGTGGATCACCTGAGATCAGGAGTTCAAGACCAGCCTGGCCAACATGGTAAAACCCCAATTCTACCAAAAATACAAAAACTCGATGGGCATGGTGGCGAGAACCTATAATCCCAGCTACTCAAGAGGCTGAGGCAGGAGAATCGTTTGAACCCAGGAGGCAGAGGTTGCAGTGAGCAGAGATTGCGCCACTGCACTCAAACCTGGGCAGTAAGAGCTAAACTCCGTCTCAGAAAGAAAAACAAAGGACTCTTCGGGGGAAGCTCTCCCAGTGATTTTCTGCTAGTGTTGAGGAGCTTTCTGAAACACTCTCACAATAAGCAGATGCTGTCATTCTTTGGTTCCTCCAGAACAGGCGGAATGCCTTGGGCATTCCCAAACCTGCTGTTGTGACCTTTACTCCTGACCAGCTGCTGGGACTGGGTGGCCTCTGGCTCTCAGTGGCAGTGCTGAGGTTGTGCCTTGTCTTCAGGATGGTCCTGGGAAAGCCATGTTCCACCTCCTGTTACGACTGTTCAGAGAAAGCTTCAGGACCCCGAGTCCACATGGACATTCCCACCGAGAGCTCTGCTCCTGACGGCAGCAGATCTGGACGCGACGGCTGTGGCACCCGCTGAGTGGAAAGGCTGCTCCAGGCAGAGCTGCGGAAGCTGAGCGGGCGAGACGCCCATGGTGTTGTTGCTTCTCCTGTTAATTGCTGGTCCTTTACAATCAGGGCACGAACAAGACGAATTTTTCCCCACAAATTGATGCGGACGGTCTGGAGCTGTGGGCTTCATCTGATTTCTCTGGGTCGTTGTCCCCATAAACTTTTCCTAAAGCATCAATGATTTCACCATCTTCCACGCAGCTTCACTGTAAACCTGAGGCTTGTTCCTGCTTCCATTTTAGCAGAATTCGTGTTGCTCTAATGAGGGCTCTTCCCAAACCGATGTCTTATCCTTGGTGCCTCAAACTAGATCCTGTCTAGACATGTTATAACAAGTTTGTGTGAATTTATTTTGGTGCAAAAATATTCTGAAGCCCATGCGCTGTTTTTTCAAAATATGCATTTTCTATGAACTTTTACAAGTCTCCTGACATTTTCACCGCGAAGCCTTGTCTACGCGAGCCCTACCTGTGCTGTGAGCTCTGGGGACCATCACTGAGCCCTGGCAGGGGATGCCTGTTTCAGGGTTTCACTAGTGCTGACTTCCCGGAGCTGCTCAGTCCAGCCTGTCCTGCACCAAAGCACACCTCTGCGTCCCTACCGCCTCCCCCCGCCACGCGCGTGGGCCAAGAGCATCACCCATGCATGCCTCCCTTCGTGTGGATCTTCAGAGGCCCCTCCTGGAGGGCAGCCAAAAGCGCACTCACCCGGCCCAGGGTCCTACCGACCACCAAGGACCTTCCAGAAACATCAGGGCAGAGGGCAGCGGGGCTGGCACTAACTCTGGTTTTCATTCAGCTTTTATTACAAAATGAAATTCCCTACTGATATCAGTGAAAGTATCAGCTTTGACCAGAAGAAACAAAAATGCTCAAAATTCACTGTGACCCCTTGCAGGGACAACCACAGATCACAATCTTATTGGAAAGTTCCTCTGATTTCTGGTGGTGGAGGTGACAACCCCCAGAGACTTAAATGCCAGGTGAAGATCCCACGGGCTGCTCTCTAGAGGACAGACCAGCGGCGATGAGTCCCTTTACTGCTGAGACAATGGGAGGGCCCATTCCATGCCGGGGGCACGCGGTGCCTGATCCTGGTGCCCGCGCCCCACGAGCGAGCTTGGATGGGAAGAGAATGGCACCGAGGACTGTGCAGCTTCAGTGGCTGCAGTCAGAGCTGACAAACGCTGCACTCCAAACACGCGCCAAAGCCACACCTAGGCAGCTTGCCCGCCGAGAAACTCACTTCTGGAACTCAGGTGGGAAGTACAGAAGACTCTGAGGGCCTTCTGAGCAGTCTGCTTCTGTTCTTTGTTCTGAAGAGACCCAGTCCACACAACTTCGAGGACAGCCTCTGCGGCAGCTGTATAAAGTGCTTTTGAAGGGTGCCAGATGTGTGCCCCGAGGGCCATCGTTAGGGGCAGAAGACAGGGGTCAGTGAGCTTCCTGCCACGGGTCAGACGGGAGGCACCTGACCTGAGTCTGTGCCACGTAGTCTCTGCCAGGACCACGTGACACTGTCCCCGTGGTGTCCAAGACAGGACAATGTGTGGACGTGTGAGCCTTGGGGTGTTCCGATAACATCTTACTAAGAGCAGAGGTGGCAGGGTTTGGCGCACCAGCTGGAGCTGCTCAAACCTCTGCTCTGGTCCTGTCCCTAAAACTTCTGTGACATTCTTCAGCGCGTGATTCCAGTCCTAGACTGAGAGACGTTTCTTCTCACTCGCTGGGACCCCGCCACGAAGCACTGCGATTTCACAAACGTGGTGACACAGGAGGCATGGCGCCGGCCTCAGAGCCTGCGCAGAGTTGGTGTCGGCACTCCCACTGCAGGGCTGGGAGGGGGAAATCAGTCTAGTCAGTGGCGAGGCGGAGAGAATGCCCAGGCATCCAGGAGTCCCAGATGGACCCGGAGCCCTGCACTGGACGCTGGAAGGCCCGGGTCCTGCAGTCCTCTCTGACCAACATTCCTCCCACCGCGGCTGCGACCAGCGAGCGACAGGGCTGAGGGCGCGCCCTCTGCTTTCAACTGCCCACGTCATCCCAGGAAGCCCGGCTTCTAATCATTTTAATAAAGTTCTCGTCATAAAACCTTTTTCTTTGGACAGAATAACACATTTCCAGCCATGCTTTTGGTGTGGATTTTAAAGCCAGGATATTTTTTCAGTGAAAACCACAGGCGTCTGTGCAGACACCACGTCCTTCCCGGGGTGCTCGGGCTGCGCTCTGTGCACGTGGAGGGCTTTGCTTGCCCGCTTTGAAGTGCTGCTGAGCCATCTCACTTCAGTCCCCTCTCCAAAACGAAGTCCTGTTAAAATCACCGTTAAATGAAGTTCATACCAAGGGAGTCTCTGGTGTCTCAGCTTGGTGTGTGGTGCTGTCCCAAAGCCAATCAAAACACAATATGAAAGATGAGCCTGGACTCGTGGGCACCGGCGCGTCAGCCACGCGTGAGGGTGCTGGGCGCTGTCGGAGGCATGTGCACACACACCCTCGTCCTCACTTTCCTGGGCCTGGCGCCCTCGGGGTTGTGACCCCACACACTTGCTAGACCTAAGAAGGTGAGAATATGAGGTGTCTGAGTGCATCCGTGGCATGATCAGCAGCGGTCCTTCTCCGCCACGGGACACAACTTCTTTGCCTGTAAAAATAAAGCTGAACGTGGCATTCCCTGCCTCTCTGGGGCCGCACTGTGTCTGCCACGACCCGCTTACAGGATGAAGCTGAAGGAATATCCCTGTTTCATAGATGCTACAAAGAAAATGGGAAAC